CTTGGAAGAAGCCACCAAGAATTGATGATGCTGCTGCCGCTTCTCTCACTGCTTTCACCAAATCGGGAGTCTCTGCACTGTCCGCTGTAATCTGGAAAGTTTCGTAGCCTGCGACGCATGACGGAATCAGCTGCAGAGTCAAAACCCACCAAGCCTTGCCTGATTGCTTTCACGAGGCCCCTCGGCGGCCTCTGCTGCAACAGCTCCTTGTGGTGTCCGCAGTGGGCAGCATAGCCCGCGGAGTCCACAGTGCTTCACGGCCTGGCCACCTGATGTTCTTAGAGGGCAGGTTATAAATAAACATGCAATCACGAACATCTGGAGGGAGCAACTTCGTCGGTTGCATTGGGGTTTCAACAGGCTCGCGGTGTTTAACGACAGGTGCACCTTGACGACTATCCTCGGTCACGGTCGGAAAGAAACTCGAACGTAGTGCTTTCAGTATTGCTATGGGTTTCGCATGTTTGTGGCCAGCCAACTGTGCGAGGAGTACAAAGTCGGAAATGCGAGACGAGAACATCGACATGCTTCTGCTACGTGAACTTGTAGTCTTAGATCAGGAGAAGGTGATACATGTTTCGTTGCGTTGGCTGTCTGAACAACTACCGAGTACGACTCAGAGTTAGACTCCTGGGGCGTGTACTTGACTTGTTCCAGCGACCAGCTGGGTGCATGGTTTCCTACAAAGCGCTTTAAGTGTACATCATTATATTTCGAGTTCTCTTGCATGGCAATGAGAAGCTGCGGCCCGAGAGATTTGGAACTGAATAGTATTGCCAGAAGGTGCCGCCCCCAGGCGATGCTGCGGCCGGGCTGGGCACCGGTCTTTCCAAGGCTGCGCGAAGAGCCAACTGATTCCGAGAAATTGAAACGCAAGAAAGGGCGAGGCTTGCGAAGTCCATGTTCAGGCTGACGACTGCGAAGTTCGTAGCACTTGCCACTGCGCAGGTCTTCAGTAAAGGTGTCCCGGATGAGTGTCTGGCCGTGCTTGTTAAACCTCACTGCTGTGAACCCTGTTGGGCACTTGCCGTCTGCCAAACCCTTCCAACGGTGCGTTCACATCGACTCATCCCGAGCCTAGCAACCACTGTGAGGCCCGAAAGGCGGAGATGCCGCTTGATCTGTCATGGCCTCACCACTCAGCAACAGCTGCTTAAGCTTTCCGGGCACGGGACATAGGATTTACACAATCACAGAGCGGCAGATTCAGCTCTTAAGATTTACGCCTAAGGCGCCGAATGGTACGTTTTGGTACGTCCCAGCATCTCAGTGGAAAGATGTGTGAAGAGTCGGTCGCCGTGACAAGCACTCGGACACAATGTGACACGCAAGACTACCTTCAACTTCCCTGATGTCATGCGACTGTTCCGCAACTTGCTGAAGTACTCGTCTTTAAGTTCTTCCGAGCGCCTCAGAGAACTCAGCTCAGCGCCTCAGCGCGGCACCTGATTTTGTCCTAGCTGCTTCAATTCCAGGACCTCGAGCACCGCCTCGTCTAGTCAGCGCATCCCAGAGCCTTGGCCGCCTTAGGCCTTGGCCTCTAAAGTCTCTAAAGGAGCGATCCAAAAGCACCTTTCTTGTCCAGGTCCTCAATTCTAGGGCCTTACGCTGCCCACTTCGTATATAAACCCGAGTTCTGTGTGCCTTTGTCGCTGAGAACCTGTGGTGTCAAAGTCGCCTAGATGCAAACTTTGTGTCATTCAGCAGCTTCCCGGAGCTTCCGCTTGCCCTATCCAAGGACACTCCGGCCAGTAGTGCTCCAGGTGTCTTAGCTGCCAAGGAGGCTTAACTTATGCAAGGTTGTTGAGACGACTTGCTGATATTATGTTGAGGGCTTGAGAAAGTCTGGAATTCGTGTTCCATAGCTGCTGGTCCCAGGTGCTTCCTACTTGGAAGGACGCTGGGTTACTACATGTATAGCTGAGTTGCTAAGTAAACGTGGTTGATACCATACTTGTATAAGTAGACATATATTTACACTTATGTAGTTGTTTTAGCAATACAGAATTGTAGCACATGCAGATGTATCTCAAGTTGTATAAGTGTGCTAACTTGTATTCTGGGCACAAAAATATCGCTAAAGAAGCGTTCCACCTCAGACAATGCAGCAATAAATTGGTGCAACGAAAATCATGTGCTTGTACAAGACTCATCCAAGGGCTCACGGTTACACTGACATGAGGTTGCTATGACGAAAGACTGAAGGTTGTCTTAGCTCGCACACTCGACTACACTCTACTACACTCTACTACACTCTACTACACTCTACTACACTCTGCTACACTCTGCTACACTCTACTACACTACTACACTCTACTACACTCTACTACACAATCTGCTACACTCTACTACATTCTACTACACTCTGCTACACTCTACTACACTCTACTACGCCTGCAGTGGGCGATCATGGCACGATTAGTGTCTCTGCGTCGCACCTTCGGTGCAGCACGGCCATTGTTGATCGCATTTGTCGCGATCCAGCACGGCTGCTCCTGAATGGTGAAGCGACTCTGGCCGAGAGGCTCCCATGCAAACGCCTAGCTGCACGTGGAGCTACACCTCGGCGACAACCGTCACAACGACAACTTTGTCCCATCGCACGCATGTCTGACCAAGCTGGAAGTCAGCCACAAGCCCTACCATGGAGCTCTGTGCAACACCGAAAGCAGCAACCAGTTCTGCAACAAGTTGGTCCGATGCCAGCTTCGTGTTCGTCAGCGAAAGCTTTGTCCAGAATTTGTATTCCTGCAAGTTCAAAAAGCATTTTCGCAAGACATTCGCCATCACGGTGGGCTCAAAAGTGTATTCGTGACTTTGTGAAATTTGTGGAAGTTGTCTGCGATGGCCTTGATTTGTTTATGTTTCCGTTCATGGCAAAAGCATGAGACGAGCCTGTCATGTTGATGCAGCATGCCTGGCAAATGCAGTGACTAATAAAATTTCGGAATCACTTCATCTTCGCGGTGAACCTTCAAAAATGCTTGGGAGTGGACTGAGTGGGCTGTGATGCGGGTTCTCAGCTCCTGTGTGCTGATTGGCTTGCCTGTGGTCTCCCTCCAGGAGAAGATCAAGTCCCAAGCACAGCTTCCGGAAGTTATCGCAAGCCTTTCTGACCGTTGCTTCAGTAAGCGACACGGCATGGACGAGCAGGAAAATCCTCACCACAGGGTATATGCTGAGGCCTTGGGATGCCGAGCAATTGAATCGCCCGGTGAAGTCTTCGTCTCGAAGATCTTCAAGACCTCCCGCACATGGGGCCGTAGTCCATGAAGCCACTCAAAAGAGCTGAAGTAGGCCAGGATTTGTGCCACGGTGTGCCCAGCACCATAAATCAATGGAATCAGGGGCCCCAGCTCCAACTGCAAAAAGTCCATTCACCAAACAACAATGCTTCCAATCATACATTGTTGCCGAGGAGGGTGCAAGCAAGCAGGAACCCAACAAACCCTTAGTGTGCACTTAGGGTTGTGGCTTGCTGCACCCTCTGCAACTCGGCCTTGGTGCCACTCCCAGCAATGGCCTCCAAACGACCATGCGAGGCTTGGTCGCCACTTGCTCGCCACTTCGAGTTGCCGGTTTCGGCTTTGGCGACCAAGGTATTCGTGGCATCATGAACATCAAGCCTGTTGTTCTGGGAAACGATGTTGCTGCAAAACATGCAACACACCGACCCCCAGGCCCCCTTGAGGCCCCATGCAAAATTTGATGCAGGATTCATCCGCCACGAAGATGGCAGGCGATGCAAAGAACAAGTGTTGCTTGCTGTCCATCGCCAGAATCCAGCATACATCCCGTCTTCAAGTTGAAGGGCCCTTGGAACAATCTTGCCATGAAGAGTCGGAAAGGCTCTGAGAAGCCACCCTCCATCTTGTTGACCAGTTCACTTCTAGCTGGCAGGGCAGTGAGCTACATGGTCTCCGATGATAACTCCGCCCCGAACTCTGCAAAAACTGACTTAAAAGTCGTGGATTTTGCGGTTGCTGAGGGGCTTCAATGCATTTCCAGGAGTGATTTCATCTGCATACAGAATCATCTTCCATGGGCTCGTGGGCCCATTCGGGCATGCCCTGAGCCTTTCCAAGAAGAACTCTCTGAACCCATCGGATGTCGCAATGGCATGAGAGAGAACAGCCGGCAAGGACATGAAAGGCAGCTCGTGCTCTCGAACGTATGTTGTTCCCTTCCGGCGGTCCAGCTGATTCACTTGAATCTTCAAGGAAGAAAGGTTGGGCCTAGAGCCATATTCACCTTGCAGTCGCCTTCTCGGGCTCGTTTGATGCTTTGCCCGTGACTGTCAATTCTTTCAACACATTCTCAAGGCCGTTGACACTGACATACGATCGTCGCCCCAGTTTGGCCAGATCAGCCATGCTTGTCCCTGCTTTGCGGGCTACAGGAGCCCTGCCAAAGCGAGAGCTTTCAAATCAACAGCACGGACACATCCAACCAAAAAGAACCGACCGAAACTTCCTGGACACACTCTGCAGATCCACTACAGCAAGACAGCAACCTGCACTAGATATGTGCATGCAGGACATGAGACAACCCAAGCATGCGAGTTACTGCAGACAACAAGAAAGATCGGAAGTTGCTTGCTTGATCCTATATACAGCGACATTGAAACTTAGAGGCAGCCGGGCATGCATCCACTGCAATCTCAACGAGGTCAGTATTTTGACCCATGCAGTGCATGGTGGCCTGGCAGACATAGGTTTTGTCGACCTGCGTGCAGAACACAAATACAAAAGGCATGAGCAAACCGAAGCACACCAAGCTGACATCATTGCGTGATGCAACAACATCTTGCAAGCCTAATAGGGCCTAATACACACAGTCCCTGATATGCCGCATGACAGCCGGAGCACGCAATCCACCATGCACTCTGCCCACCCCCCTTTTGTGGATCTGCATGACGGCATTGTTTCAAGAACCTTCCTCACATTTACAGATTGCAAATCGTTGCCTCCAATGGTTATATACACCCATGCACTGATGTCTCACTTGCTGTCAGCCCTGGGCAAGTGTCGCCGCTTCTTCGGGGCCTTCTTAGCCTTGGCCTTGGGCTTTGAACGGGGCTTCGGCTTGGACTCAGAGATGAACGTCATCAACATTCGAGGGTTTTCTCCTTAGCCTCGACCCGCAAAGTGTGGTGTGGCCTCCCAAACCCTCGTAAAGGACACGGAACGAGTGGCCCTTGTACTGCGCAGTCAAAACGGGCGGTGCCATAAAATCGTGCTTGGAGAAAGCGCTCACTGCCCAGTGTTTCTTGTTGCCGGGCTCGTGTTGGTCCTCCGCTTTGAAAGCTTCTTCGATAGCCTTGTTGTCCAGGTCTTGGCGAGCTTGCAACAGCTCAGCCCACACTTCAGAATTCAAACTGCCACCGTCCTTGTTTGCCCTGAGGTCCAAGGCCCTATCTGTCAAGGCAAGGATGCATTGTCTGTTCCACCTGGACAAAGCAAGAAACTTGCCGTCGTTGACTTCCTTTTGCTTCGGGGGACCTAGGGTTTGCAGCCTTTCGGATTCACAACCCTCTTCTGGAAAAAGTGAGCCTGATGATCATCCTCCGCAGCATCAAGTCCATATCTGGGGAGACTGGGTTGATCACAAATCTATGCCAACGAGTCAGCGCAAAGAAAACAAAGCCTGCGAAAAAGCGCCAACACGGGCTTGCAGCACATGCTGCGATCCATGACATGTTTCATGCAACATTGGAAGACTCAACTCCCGGTCCATGCACCTGTTATAGCACAATCGGACCTGAGAATTTTTGCACAACCGATGAAAGGCTCTGTCAACCTCTTGCAACAGCGACCAAAGGCTCTGCCACAGCTCTGATGATCTCTGGTATGAGGGGCTATATAGCTCGCTCCCGAGTTCATGTTACAATCATGCTGTCGCTAGCACTCTGCATGTCACATTGCAATCATGAGGCACCATTCACTCGTCTTTCGGGGGATGCTGCTTTCAGTGGCTTTCCCTGCTTCGGTGCCATCTCCTTGTACACCAGCAGCTCTTGGCCGGCGCTCGAAGCGACAGAATTCTTGAGCAACGGGATCCGAATCTCCGTTTGCTTGTTGCCGGATACCACTACCGTCATGTTCCCTTTGCTCTGGTCCTCTACACTCTGGACCAAGAAAAATGGCGACAAGAACCCCACGAGTTCCCCCGGTGCCTCCTCAGTAGTTTTGGGAGGCAGCAATGAAGAAGCGGCGATCGCGGAAGCCTTTCTCAACCTCACTTCCACAGCTCCCTGCATGGTCTCGGTGCTGGTTCGGGCAACCACTTTCGTGCTGAACGGCGCCAAAATGAGTTTGCCCTTGGGCACAGTGTGCGGCACAGCCGTCTTCGCCGCAAGTTTGGTGGGGCGAATGCACAACCTCAACTTCGCCATGGTGTCAGGCATGCCATGGTTCTGAACGAGAGAGTGCATTTCGCAATGGATCATGGCCACTGTGTGGGCGACATCGAAATCGGGGTGGACTGACTGGGGTCGGAATGGCTGGAGGTCCTCGATCTCATGAACATCTGCCTTCGGTGTGAAGACCTGCCACTCACCCCGAATGAACGAATCGATGCGGGCTCTCACTGCCCGACCGTCTGCTCTTGAGCTTCACACCAGTGTCGATTGCCAATATCTCGCAGTCCACCTTATCCTTGCTGCGGCGGACAAATGAGCCGACCTTCATGTTCATGCCCTCCAAAGACTTGTATGTTTTCATCGGCTACCTGCAGGTTCATGACATGAGCAACTAAGTTGGAGTCCACCACCGCCAAAACATTCACAAGGTTCTGGTCGCCTGGATTCCCATGAGAGCCCGTGTTCGGAGCTCGGAAATGAAGCCGTCCGCCTTAACTGCTTTGCCAACCATGGAGGTATTGGCGGAGGCTCGTTTGCACTCCGTGGCATACAAGTGCACGCCAGCCAAGGCGAGTTTGAGCAACCCGTGCCGAAAGAACGGCAGCTGGTTCTTGCTGCCTTTGACTTCATGACAGATCACCTCCCAGACCTTCTCGCCGAGAGCTGTCGTGGAGCCCGTGGCTCTCACATACTTCTCGGTCTCGCTCAGGAACATGCCATCGACTCCTCCACCATACCTGTTCTATACAGTATACAACAAACAAGGTATCTGCCATGCCACCTATAAGCTCTGCAGGCGATACATAGATGCTGAGGAAAAGGAGCTTCGGGGAGAATTGGTAAAAGTGCGCAAAGCAACTTCCACAAGTGATGCTGATGAAGTCCAGCGGGATGCCCGGCTTCTGCTGCGACACGATGAGTTGGAATGTCTTGCTGAGCACCTGGAGTTCCGACTCAGATTTGGGAGGGTGGCATTCCCTGCCGCCTGGATATTTGTAGGAGTTCTGGCCAGCGAAGGCCCACCGATGACGACAATACCTCCCAATTCAAGCCGTGCCGGACGTGGTCGGCAAGGGCCGAATCGATCGGTCTCAGGTCTCTCATGAGGGGCAGCATCCGGCGATGATCCGAAGAACAAATTTGTGTGGCTCCCGCACAAGCTCACAATACCTTCAGTGTCTGAGGTTTCATCGTACCCAACCGCCCCTGGCAACTCTCGATGAGCTGGTGAGTCCAGGCCAACTCTTGATCATTGGCTGGTTCGATAGCCTACAACGTGTCCACTCCGCCACAAATCAGGAGGTTCGAAAGAAGAGTACGCACATCAGCACTGTTCAAGCAGATGCCGTCAATCTTTTTGGGGTGAGCCACCGCTGCAGATGGAACCAGCTGCGTAGAGGTTCCGAGACCATTCCCCAGCAAAAGCTGCATGATTTGGTGACCAGTTTCTCTCCAGTGGCGGCACCTTCCAAGAGTTGGCTGACTCAGGGATCAACATTTGCAGGAAGTTGCGAGTTATTAAACGTGACTGCGACTCTCTCTATCTTGCGCGAATGTCTTCTATAGTTGTGTGTGCACAGCTGTCCAGCAGTCCGATCGTGTTTGTGTGGTTCGAGTTGGGCTGTGTATTGACAGCTTGTGCAACCAGTTGTCTTCGTTTTCCCACCGTGGAGTGGAACTGCTGTCCCTGGAGCCTGGAGGCTTCTGTATAGGCATTCGGATGCACATCGTCCCATCGTCCCAGAAAGGCCGCTCGTGTTGAGTGAGTGCGAGATTGTAGGGGCATGCATGACATGATGGCACAGAGTCTTCAGGATCCGATCTCGCAAGCACCAGTCTGAACAACAAGCTGCATGCAATGGCAAATATGCATGCCCTGCCGTCTCGTGCAGTAACTGCCAGCGAGCAACCATGTAACGATGCTGCATGCAAACAGCCTCCCTCCATGGTTTGTTTCGTCGGCATGATCTCCAACGCCAATTCCTCCAGCCGCAAACAAACTTAGCTTGTTTACTAAGCCGACGAAGTGTGTTTAGTTAAGGAAGCTAAATGACCGACAGGAAAAGCCTATGCATTTGTGTGTAAGTACTCTTCTGACATATATGTGTGCTATCCAGATACAGCACTTGTTTTTCAAATATATGTCCATGCTACCAACATACTTACTAAGTGTAACAAAACAGATGTGCACCATAGCATGCGTATAAATGCAGTAAACCACACTCACCCTAAGTATTACGTTCACTTAACCGGTATACTATTTTTCCTTAACATGTCTATTTACTTACCAAACCGACGCCGTCGCAAGTATGCACTCCAAGGTGCAACAATGGGTGCTCTTCGGCAAAAGCTCAGGCAGCTTTTGCCGAAAGAGCTGCAAGGTGCCCAGGCGCACGGCACGTGGTTTGGCAACATTCCGGAAATCCAAGACATGAGTCCCCGAGACTGAAGTGCACGCAACACCTACTGTAGCACGTTCTATCTGGAGCAGTGGGTCGACTGCTGGGCCCCGCCGAAGGCTTCAGTCCCCAGCAATCCACACCTTAAATGATGCTTGTGAGCTACTCTGCTGGGTAATCGGATTGCCTTCCGCGGTGCTCTCGGCTCCAGTGTCGGGCCTGGGTGGGGCACCGCCATGAGTCCCCCAGGTGGGGGTCTTTCGAGTCTGTGAGGACACGGGTAGTTTCTGTTTGCTTACGTCGTTAAAAGGGTTCGGTGCCAGCTTCAGATCGGGTCACATTTCGCCGCATATGTGGCCATCTCGCAGGGATGGCAGACTCGCAATCTCCATGCTCGGTTTTGTCCGCCCGAACCTATTCTGGTGATCAGCTGCTGGTGGCAGTAGGTTGATTTCCGATCGTTTTGTCCTGTATTCGAAGTTGTTCTTCACGGAAGTGAAGCACATACCGTGGTACTTACCTGGTATGCCTGTTGCAAATGCTGAGGTGGTTCTACATATCCTAGCACGTGCGCGAATCCTTGCAGATAGTGCGGACTGTCGAGCCTGGACAGGTCAGCCACAACCACTCATCGAGCCTCGGGTGCTGCTGGCGAGTGCCACGCTTGAATCTCAGGAAGAGCTGACGCCACTCTCAGGCGCAAGGGCTTGAACAGCTTTGTTCGATGTGCGCTGCCCCACACTGCATCCTGCTAAACTCCTACAGGTGTCACTACTGCATTCCCTGCTGAGGATAACTCGCTTGGAAGGGATTAGCTCACGTACGATCTCGGAACACAGCGCCGTTGAAAACCAAAGAGCCCAAGAACTCGGTCTCCCGCTTGATAGGCATTGCTAGGGCAGGAGCATGGTTTGGGTCCACGCGTATGGCTGACGTTTTAAGGGGTGGGGTTGCCATGCGAGCTCCCTGAAGGCGCGGGATTTGCGAAGCGTGCCCTATGCCAGCAGGACTCTGCCCTGCGATGCCTTCAAGGGAATAGAACCCATGGGTTGTTTGCTACATGCCGTCTTCAGCAGTCGGGTTTGCATGCAATGCGGCATTTGGCCGCAAACCCGAGCCCCTTCTGACAGCGTCTCCTACGTTCGATCAAGGTCAGAAACCATCCCAGGATCTCTCTCGGAATATATATTCACCAACCTCTCAACTGCCAGCTACAGTGGACGTCATGGACGTCCCAGCCGGGTGTTATGTGCGAACCATCTCTTCGATCGCCAGGAGCACTATTCTGCACTTCTTGGCCGCGATGAGGAAGTTGGTGAGCTCAGGGAGGAGGGCAGGGTGAGTCGGGAACGCCGTGTTTCAGTTCCAGCATTGGCAGGGGGGATTTAATGTCGGTACTGTAGCCAATTTCGCATGTCTGTCAGAAAACGCAAGGAGCCCAGTGCGGAGGCCTCGCAGAAGCCCCTCAACAGTCACGGTCTGCTTTAAAAGTCGGCCCCACAAATTTTGGGACAATAGCCTCGCAGGACGCGCCTGTCCTTCCGCGGGCCTGTCGAAACTATTTGTTCATGCAGGACATCAGATGCCCCTGCAAAGCTTTAACACTCCGCCGATTGAAGATTCAAGCGGCCCATTTGGTCATTGGGGGGCCTGGGCTCGTCTTCGAGGTGGGGAGTAGAGTTGCTTTACGATTTCAGCTTATCCGCAGACCGAGTCTAGCGCATGTGTTACAGTGTTCGAGACCCAGGCTACGAGACCCCAAGCGTCACTCATCCCAACGCCTCAGCTGCGTGCCCTGCGTGGAGCAGGATTCCTACGTCTTGCAGAAGAACGTAGTGGGATGCATCGTCCCCTGGTCGATCCAAAGTTTGGTGTGCAATGAAGCAGAACGATTGGCAGTAGCTTCACCTTAAGAGATGCACCTTGGTAGACGAAGACAGCCCACGGATGACCGGAGCCATGTAGTTAGAAACCACGCGCACTCTGTCTTGCCAGGCATGGAAAGACCACCTGTAGATTGCACGAAGAGGCTTACTGTAATTGCGCCAGAAGTTCGAGTCACATCGACAGCAGATATCTTACTGCAAAAGGCTGCGACATGCTCAAATTCAAAACTGCCCTCTGATTCCAGAAGCGCGCCGTGACAGCAACTCCGTGGCAGCTCAGGTCTTCTTGAACATGCTTATGCTGGGCTTGGAGACGGATGGAGTCTCGTGGCACTGTTGGCGAAGTTCCGAGGTGCTTTTCGTGCTTTTCTATTGCTGCTTGGTTGCACACATCGCGCCTGTTCTGGGTCATTTTGTCACGCGATCAGGCGAGTTGTACAAGAAAGTGTCGTGCAGGGCCTCGTTGTACAATGGTTTGTTTCCATTTCAGACCTGGCATCCGGGCGAGTGGACCAAGCAAGGCTAGCGCATGAGCGGCTTCCGTGTAATTGAGCAGCTTGAAATGCTGGAAAACCTCTGCTACACCTGCAGGTTATGAGATTTCGGTTCGGATCTGCCAGATGGGTCCAGCGGCTCTTGCTCAAGCATTGCCCTGGGAGGCGCAGGGGATTTCGAAGTCGGTTCTGGGAGAGAAGACTTTAGCCTAAAGCCTGGCTGATGTGCATACCATGCCTGTGCTGCCTGTGGATTGCATCGGGAATTCAACGCATGAATAGTGCTTCGGGTGCATAGGAACGCCCGCCCTGTGCACCCACCACGCCTGCCATGTAAGCCTCTGGGAACCACAGGCTTGAAGTGAGAAGGGCGCTCGCGTTCGGATGATTTCACTCTTTAGGGAAACCTTGTGCCCAAGAGCTGATGCCAGAGCCCATGTAACCATTTGTCAGGGCCAGGCCTCTTTTGTTTTCACAACAGACTGTGGACTGGTGGCTTGGCTGCCGATTGCAAGGGCCCACTTGCTGTTTGTTGCATCTCTTTTATGTGAGGGCACCTCTTTCAAGGCCGTAGTCCCTTTTGAAGCCAAGGTACTGCTGGGCCTTGGAAACCTCATCTATATTGCGTTCCTTGGTGGATGCTAAGAAAGTAAGTGGTTCCATCGCAACACACATCGTATGCTTCCGACACGATTCGACCCTATGACGCCTGCAATGCTCTCATGATGCTTCAGCTACAGTGTCAATATTCTCTCGCCCACTGCTAAGCCCGAAGGCCGAAGCTGAACTTAGGTCATAGTGCTTCATTTTATGGCATGTCTGGAGTTGGTCCTGCTTAGCTGGTACGCGATGTACGCCATGCGACAACAGCTTTGATCTGGTCTTGGGGTGTTTCACATGCGCCGTAGAGCTCATAGATACATAATATATAGATACTCAAGCCTGGCAAGCAAGAGAGGCCAGGTTTGACATGCTTTCTGTCCATGACACTGTTGGCAGCATGTAGAACGAAAGATATCGAGGTGCTTTCCTGGATCGATGCCTGCGCCACCCGGTCGAAGCTGCAGCAGCTGCAATCCACTTCTGCAGAATTCCTGGTCAAGGGAAAAGCCCCCTTTGAGAGTAAGGTCTGACCACTCTTGGTCTCATACTGACATCTTCGAACACATCTGTAGCTTCGCATCTAGATGCAGGTGTTTACCGTGATTTTTTATCAGGATCGATTTCTTGTAGAGCAATTAGAGTATCAAGGCCTGTGTCCTCGAAGCACCGCCGGAGGCGAGAGGTAGAGTAGCCAGCCAAACTGACGATATTTCCGTGGCCAAGAATAAGACTGATTCAATAAGTGAGTCGGTAGCAAGAAACAAGAAAGGAAGTAGCTAAGTCAGTATATATAAGTAGTAGGGAAGTATAAGCAAATGAGTATGGCATAAACTGTGAGCCGAACGTAGCCCTCCCGTGCTTGAAACCTGAAATCTTGGTGCCTGAGTTTCCATACCCGACACCTCAGACCCTATCCCGAGGTGGATGCTCTACACTCGCCTCGTGCGAGGGCTGCGGGTATTCTACCTTTTCGACGCTTGGACAGTTTTTTGTTGGGGTGAGAGGGAACCGACGCCAGCCCTTGCCTCCTCCGAGCCTTCACCTATCCGTGTTCTTCCATCATGGTAGGCTTCGGGATGTCCGGGAGGGGGGGGGGGGGGGGNNGGGGGGGGGGGGGGGGGGGCGAAGTCAAGCAGATGCGGGGGAATAGGACATAAGCGGAGGATCGATACAGTACCAGGATGTCCTCTGCAAGAACAGAAATCAATTGAGGACTCGCTGCACCGCTTTGCCACGGCTCTCTCCGAGATGTTTTCAACTTTGTTGTGGATTTTTGGCCTCTTGGTTTGATGTTAGGAGGACCAGATCCCCGCTAGTGCCCAATATAGTGATTCAACACGTACGTGTGCAAGTAGCAGCCTCTAGTGAGCATGCCACCGACAGTCCTGATAAACCGCATGCCCGCAGGGTTTGACGTTCATTGTCTCCGCAAGATTCCCTTGACTTGCAGACTTGAAGGCTGATGAAGGCTTCGACTGACTTTCTTCGAGAGTCCAGAGTATCTTCCGATACCAGATTTTGCAGGTTGATTCAGTCCACAATGACAGTCAGTATGCTGTACCATGCTCATGCAGCCCGGCATTCGCCCTGTTGCGAAGTCAACCCACCACGTTGCAGCGGGTGCGAATCATGATTGGAACGGCTCCCCCATTCCAGCCTCTGTGGCCACTCGAAGGTGTGCTGACCTTCACCGTTTACTTGGTGGCGGTGTTTCTTACGCCTTGCCCCTAATAGCTCAGGGCTTGGCGTGCATGCCCGGAAAAATCGAAGAACATCGGATCAATCGATGCTGATTTTCGGTACAGACTGGGATTCAGTATCCGAAAGTCTGGATGTAGGAACACTGTCACATCGCCTGCACGAGGAGAACTCGCAGGCTCTGAGAACTACAGTAGGTGGGCAGCAACACTTCCCTACCATGCTGGTCTAGCGCAACTGCACGTAACAGGCTTCCGCGTATCGACAGGACGACCGGCTCTCGATCCATTAAACTTCCAAGAGCACCCGTGACCCTAGCGAGGTCGAAAAGAACACTGCATACTGTACTCCAAAACGTGCAGCCCGGAGTCTGTGTTGAGGCGATAAGAGTTCGGGTTGCGCTCCATAGGTTTGAAATTCCCGCAGAATGCTGCAGACACCGAGATCGTGCATAGACGCAGGGGGCAGCGTCCTGTACAGAGCCGCTCAGTGCCGTACTGGACCTTTTTGCTTACATCCCTAAAACATAGTGACATGGTTACTGATTCAGCTGCCTGCTTGGATCGGCAATGTTCGAAAATCGTCCAGGGCGAAAGCCCTGCAGACCGAGTTCTTTGTATGGGCTCAACACTTCCTCGGTTATCTCCGTTCACTTTGCAAGTGGACCAGCATCACTGCTTCCCAAACCTGGACTCAGACCTTGAAGTTCAAAGGCAAAGTCGTTCATCCTCCTCCTCAACCCGGACCCGAAGCCATCAAGGTTGTTGCATCCTTACTCAGTTTGTTTCATACTATATAATACCAATATAGGACGAAGGAAAGATAAATCAGATACATCATTGTCCTCGCTCTTCTGCGGCTCTCAGACATAATTACACCCCGCAGCATGCCCGAATGTCCAACGACCCAGAGCCCCAGTCATCCGAGACTCAGGCACTATGCAAAACACCATCTCTTCCTTGAAGGCCACCGTGCAAGTGATGTGGTATGGACAGAATTCCTGAGCTTCGGGTGTTCACAGGATTTCGCATGGGAAGCTGTGCGCCGAAGTTCGCTTCGCGACGGTATTTTTTTTGGAATGCTAGGGCTTTTTTTCCTCCTTGACGAGTATGATGAGTCCCGTTTTTGTCATCCTCGGATATGATGGGCAACCGAACAGTAACTCTGAGCCGACTCTCCACAAGATCGCTTCTACAGTTAAGATGCCCACACCCGGCCACCAGACATTTTGCGCGATTCTGCAGGGAAGTTCCATGCAGAGCTTTTTAGGCCGTGCTTGAGGAAGGCTGACAGTTCAGGAGCCGATTGAAAGGGTCCATAGAAGCTTCGCAGGCAACAGCGAGGAGTACTTCCAGAGCATCCTTACGTCAATGTTCACGCTTTTTCAGGCACGGTGCTTTGCAACAGAACTGCTTGTGATTGGCAGCCTTTGTAAACTGAAGCGACCTGACCTATCCGTTCGTGCCTCCGTTGCCGATGTTAGGTCACGACGATGGACTCGTGGCCGGACATCGCTGCCCCGCTTGTTGAGCACAGCACGCCCGCTTAGCTGATTCGCCTGTCAGCTTCGAAGTGTAGTAGGTTGTGGGACATGGGCACAAGCGCCTGGTTTGGGGACGGGGCAACAACACAAGGCAGCTGGAGAGTTCATGCATGCCTCTGTTCGGATCAGCTCCCAGGTGTCTGGTGGCGGATCTTTTTCGTGATTTTCATTGCCTTTTCTGCCGCTGGGCTCGACATCAGTGTACCGGGACATCAAGCTTGAGAATGGGACCTCTTCAAACACCTATGCCCTATGCTTTGTGTTTTGCCGGGGTCTCATGAACACGATACATTAAAGCATACCTGCTGCTTGTCTCGCCAAATTAGCCGGAGAACCAGCCACTGGTATTCAGGGTCATTCACCAAGGCTCTGATTTTGCAGGTGTGGCTGTGTTGGACGGTGTTGTTTGCTTGAGCATTGTTTCTGGAAAAAGTCATTTGATGCGTCAGGAAATTCGCAGGCGCGTTCAAGTTCAGGTTTAGTGGTGCTCATTGGGCAGATTGGATGGGTATTAGTCTTTGATGGACAGTTTGGGCATAGCTCAACTGGGATCTTCCGGGGGCTTCGGGGCGGTGCCGGGATCGAGCGGCTCGAAAGAAGCTTAGATCTTGGATTTTTGAAACGAGCATTGCGCCTTTTGAACCCAAGCTGAGCGTGCTCAGCACAGTATTTCGTAGCCCTCCCCATGCCAACTCCGAATCCCTGAATCACATATCCCGGGAAGTCAGAAAGACTCTCAATCCAGAACCTTTCCAACTTTGCAACGCGAGACCTACTAGCTAAATCTGAGACCCTTAAATGGTCGCACGCAGTGTAGGAAAAGTTTCGCAGTGTAGGAAAAGTTTATGTTGGCGTTTATACATACACATACAATATGTACATGTGCATATACATACATGCATAATTCATATCTGACCCTATCTAGTTTTGTGTCGTTTCTCTTTCTCTCTCTCTCTCTCGCGCGCTCTCTCGCTCTCCGTCTCTGTTTGTCTGTCTGTGTGTCTGTGTGTGTGTGTGTCTTTGTTTATGTATACACGCATGCATGGTCCCTGCACGCGGTCTGCGTACTCTGCGATCTTCTACAGAAGCAACCGACAGGCATGGACTATGATCTCGCTTGTTACGGCTGTCGTGTCAGACAATGTCATTCAGGCGGGATTTCCTGACAGGCCCAGCATTCTCTACACATAAATAGCAGTCGAAGTGCAGAATGGCTAACTGTGATCTGGCACTCTCCTATCTCCAGCATCCAGCATGGCCTGGAGTGTTCTTGATGCCGGCTTGTCAATGCTTGTCAGGCGACACAAGACCGTAAGGAAAAGCAGAAGGAGGCCATGACAATCGGATCTCCAGTGCTGTGGTAGCGTCACAATCTTGCGAGCGGGCTCCTCCCGACAAAGCTGTTCAACGAATGTCATGCTCAGCTGGTGTGTCCGGAATTCCTGCGAAGCCCTGAGCGACGCCACGCTGACCGCGCTGGCTCTTGCGCAAGTGCTTGCTTCACAAGTGGCTTCAATCAATCTTAAACTGTAGAGGATTTAGAGGTGAGACCAAAGACAGAACACACGAGGCATGCTTTGGTATTCAAAGATGTTGGGTCAACCCTACTAAAGGCGGCATCTTCAATCCGATTACTCTCGAAGGGCCCGGAAATGCTTCAATTTCGAGTGCGTAACCCTCAGACTCTCAGAGTGCAGTTCACAGGTTCACGGAATCGGGAGCTGGTGCACCAGGTTCCTGAAGCCAACGCGAAGCCAAGCGACAAACCCTCAACTGTACGTATTCCGAAGCCCTGCAGACCCTCAAGCCTCCGGACTCTGCGAGATCCTACTTGTGCCACGTTCGGCATTTCACGGCAGCCATGGCAGGCAATGGAAAGAAGAAGAAAAGAGTTCGTCGACTTCCTGAAGGTGGGAGTCCTGCAGCCCTTAGAGACTGGCTAACTCAGGCCTGGCTCTGGGCAACACGCCTGTGGCACCCTCCATTTATTCGAGCCTTTCGCTGGCTGCGTATATGAACAACCGGAGATGCGGGCCTTTAAACAGATGTGAAAGTCCCCAACGTGTAGGTCGCCATCACATCATGCTTGCTCCAGACAGTAGCGTACGAGTTTTATTAGATACGATGACTGGCGACAGGTCTGCTTTGTCAATGCTGACACTGACGGCCTCTCGCCAGCACGTTGCAGCCTCCTTCCTCGAAGTATCTCGAAGTCAGGCCTCACCACATCGCTTTGGCGCAAACTTCAGCCATGTCAAGAGTCCTTCAGCTCTCGAGCCCCTGATGCTGCTTGCAGCCGTTGATGTACGTGTCATGCAAGAGGCAAGTCTTTATCTATCGACACTTTGCAAATCGCAGCACAATTCTGAAATATGCCAGATATTGCAGTGAAAATTCAGTGTGCATGGTGAGTGGATGGACGGGCATGGGTCTGTGGGTGAGTGTTGGGCGCGAGACTGCGGTGTTCTGGTGGCCTACCTGCAGCTCTCAGGAAACGAGGTTCTCGACCACCAAGAGTTCGCGACCCTCATCAAGGATCCGCAGGCGATCGGCGGGGTTTCAGGGCAGGCAGTGCATGACAGTGCGCTCTGGCAGATGTTGTTGTCGACGATTAGTCTTGGTTATTCTTGGTTCTACTTCTTAACAGGTCGCTCAAGCCGAGGCCCCTCACAGCTTTTTTACAGCTGTCTGGCAGGTGCCAAGCTTTCGTCCCCTCGGGGACTCGTCCGGGCTTGACAGCCGTAAATGCTGCGAAGATTTGTGCGCACATCCGTCAAACTAATGAACAGGACGCGTGCGCAACGGATGACGCTGACAGGGTAATTTTTTTTTCCCTGACATGGCAGGTCGTGGCCAAGATGGAGGATCTGGGTGTGACCCTCCCTCTACAAGAACTGGAGAAGGCAGTAACATCGTTGTGCAAACGGCTTACTCTCCTGTTTCCGAACGGCTCAACTGCCACGCAGTATTATGGCGCAGACGTCTTCAATGTCTTAGCTATCTCGGTCACCCCTGTTCACTTTCACAGCTTCGGGTTCCTTCTTGCCGCGGCCTTGCCAGAAGCCATTCCGAACCCTCAGCATTTGCCATGACCATGTTTCTTGTGCTCAACTCGGCGAACCCACATTCTGACGTAGATTCGGATCTTCCTACAAGACCTGATGCACCGCGTCAAATTCCCAGTTGAACTGCAGCAGATGAGCCAGCTTCATTCCTGCACAGAGGGTGGCAACTTTAGAGGAAGCTTCCAGGGCTCCGGCTTCGACGGTCTGGAATTCCCTATTCTTTAAGCACACTTCCCGTAGCACACTCATTCAACGGTAGATGTATGGCTATGGTGTGAATGTGGTTGGTGAAAGAGGTTGATCTCCTAGGCGTTGCCGTTAGTGGCAAAGCGTGCTTGGCACTGACACCCCTTCGCAGCTCCGACCCGGAGTTCAATTCAGGGGGCATGCTCCCAATTGTCTCCGGATCTCACATGCAAGGGATGTGTTGGATTTTGGTGGGGCGAAACAGGATAACCCTTAGTCTTGCAGGGTCTGTGAGCCCCTTAGCTGCCAAGCATGATCACCGATCCTTTGGCTTCAGCAACATCAACAGGAGTCTTTGGCTTGGTGGGAGAGGAAAGGACAAGGGCAATTTTTAGGTAAGATATGGTAAGATTCTGGCCAAGGGCCTGCAAAGCCGCAAAGCCCTGAGAGCAAAGCGCCGTTGTCAGGCTTTCGCCATGTTGGATGTGGACGAAGATGGTGAGCTGTCTATCGACGAGTTCACCTCAGGCCTCTCCCAACTCCAGGAGCCGGAGCTTCGATACACTTAATGTGCCCATGCAAAGCTTAGTTAAAGCTATTCGGAGCCATTTGTAGGGCGCTGGCTATGCCAATTTGAAGAGGTCCCGCGAGTAGTATTCAAGGCGCTCCGAGAGTTGTGTAGGGCATTTAGACACGCATGATGTGCACTGTGTCGCGTTACTGCAGCACATCCAACATGCTGCGGCTTAGTTCGAATTTAGCTCCGCCGAAGCAGACGAAGCCACACTTATTGTGAACAAGCGGGAGCATGGCAACTTTACGCAGATCAGACGAGGAGACGCTGAACACAAAGCATGTTGTCTCCCTCGACTATGGCCTCCAGCGGGTTTCGACTCAGGTGACGAAGAGGCCTTGCACCTCGGGGTTCTCCAGTCTAAGTGATACATCCCGAAGACGGCTGCATTTTCTGTCCGGATGCCGGCGTCTTTACCGAAACGGTCATTTCAATGATTGTTTCAGGTGGTGGTTTCAGCTGGGAGTCTTTGCTTAAAGCCGCACGAACGGACGGAGCTTGCTTCTGCAAACTGTTTGACGGGTTGCGCTTGGGGTTAAACGGGTTGAAAGGCGGAAGTCTGAAAAGGTAACCGCAAAAACAAGCCAGTCGTCAGTGCAGGGGCATGATCTGATACCGAGATACATTGGCCTCGGAGAAATGCTGATTTCTCGCCGAAGTCGGAAGCCTAGCCAAATAATTCAAAGACTTCGTTTATAATCGCTTAGCAGCTCATAGCACCTCTTCCTAAGTTATGTTGAACTCTCTTGCACCAGAGTTTCGACCCGGGCATCATGCTTGCAGGATCGGCAGTTTCCAAGAACTAGGGCCGCAAGGGCTCTGATTTCTGACAGGCCTGTAATGATGATGGCATTGGCAGCTGTGTTCCGGTGCATCAACACGAAAGGGCGAACAGCAGCCTTTCCAAAGATCCAGCTAGACATATCCGTCGTTGGACGTGAATGGCTGGTTTTTGCTGGCCCGTCTCTGAGCACTCCCTCCACGTCGGAATCTCAACCTTTTCGGAGGCTGGAACATCTAGAGCACACCGTGACGGAGCGGAGTGAGCCTTGCCTCCTGAGATGGGCGGAATCTGGTATTCGGGTTTAAGTCGGTTTGTCGGTTGTCATGGGCATGCCGGGGATTGATGGTCGGGAACTCATTGTTGCCTTCAAGATTGCAAGATGTGCTGCTATATATGGTCGCCTTGATGTTTTGATCCACGTCGATACGCAGACAATCACATTGTTCCGGGCCTCGGAGAGATAGTCGAAGGTTCACGTCACCTGTAGCAGCTAGCAGCAGTATTACCCCTCGAGCGGCATCGCTGCTCGGGACATGCCATGGCCATCGCGTGCCTTTTTCTTCAGCTGTAACGAGATTCATCGACAACATTAGCCACTGCGTGAGGATGCCATCGCACACAGTGTGGACAAGCTCACAACTGCCATGGCAGAGCTCACCGACACGCTGAAGGGATGGCGTCAGGACCCGAAATAGCCACTATCGTTGAAATTGCGTTCGGCTCTTGCGCCGGTGCGCAAAAGCATAGACCAAGCGCTCTCGAATAAAGTAAAAGTAATCAGAGCATAAAGTCAGAACGGCTGAGTGCTGAGGGTCTTGGATGTGCTGGTTCCCTCGGCTCTGGTGTAAGCTGCTGCTTAGGCTCCAACTTTCCTGTCGAATTCGGCCGCAATCGCCACAGTGACGTCTGAAGCCCCGAAACAGCCAAGCGCAGATAAGAAGAGAAAGTCTTGGTATCGGTCGGCACGCTTACGACTACGATCTTGCGTGCCTTGGGTCGCTCGAACTAGGAAAGGTGTGTTGGATGCGGGGTCAAGCCAAACAAGCCGTCCTTGCAGCAATAGGCAACATCGCTGTGCCATAGTGTCACTGTGAATCGATGGGTTGGGCGTTTCAGGCCGGAATAACCGCATCAAGGCATTCGTGACTCTCCCCCAAAATCGCTTGAAAGCCTGGCCTGGGTCCTTGTTGGAGTTTGCGCAGCCGGCAGGATGCTTCCACAGCATCGAGGGACAGCAAGCGCTGGCTTGGCATGGGGCCAGCTGCGTGACAGAGGCTGGATTGCTCTGCCATTTCAAGGTTAGTGTGCTATAGTGTGCTCTGTGCTCGCAGCCTTTTCGTCTACGGTCTGACCTGGTTTGTGCCGCGTCCATGCTTGTGGCGACTTCTGTGAAAGCCTTCATGCTCCAGAAAGTGCTTGGGCCTTGAAGGCCCAGCGCCGAACGATCGCCAGCTGAGAGAAGAAAGCAACCTGCATTCACTCAGACCATGAAGGTCCGCACCTCTGTGGGCTTTTTGGGAGTGAAGAGCTACTTGTAACGCTCCAAACTTTAGGCTTTTATCGATTTGAGCCCTGGTTCTGCGGACCTTGCCAATGCACGAATGCGTGCGCCTCGTACTGCGCACAGGTTGCAATCCAAAGGGACCACAACTAAACTGCTGTGATGCGACTGTTGTCGACAGTCGAGGCTTGCTGGAGAAAGGCCCCGGCGAGACATACATACATCGACTGAGTTTTGATAAACATGTCCTGGGTCCTCCCGTAAGTTTGATTCGCTTTCTGGTTACACCCTGAAGGACGGCAAACACTAAAGGACAGGGAGGATCCAATTTCTTGCCCCGGGGTGGTGAAAGTGCCCCCCCGCCGGATCTGTTGCACGACGACTGGGCAATGATGTAGAATCAATGCAGAAGGCAAGGTCTGAAGAGATATCTTGTGTTGAAGATGGCAACCTTGAGCGATTCAAGTCCTCAACGTGGGAACGTGGGCGACGGTCTTAGTCTTAGTTGATTGTGCAAAAATCTCTCCAGGCATCCGACTGCGGCCCGAAAGTCACTGCAGAACAATACCGAGTGTAAGGCCCGGAGGCTCGAGTTCAAGACTCCCACCCTTACGAGCTGCGCACCTGGCACTGTGGGGCGCTGCAACTACATCAAGAACGTCAAGAAAGGTTCGGGCTTACTTCGCGAGACAGCACCATGCGGGTGTGGACAGTAAACGTCTCTCCAGAGAAGCAGTTCTGGCTTTGCCCCACAGCTTCGTGGAGTCGCGGAGGGCAGAGCGGCATCCTCTGCCTGCCGCACGATTTCAGTTTACAGAACCTTGGAGGAGCATCGAAGACCACTGATCTTAAACCAGAGCATGTGATTGAGCTCTGAAAGGTGGCACGAACCCGAGCAGTTCATGTGATGCTGACGAGTGCTAGCTAGACAAAAACACTAGCTACTAGCTTACTATAGTAGCTCAGAGTTGTTCTAAACCCCTGCTTCTTGACCATAAGAATTCTCAAGGTTTGCCAAGGCTTCAAGGTGGGAATGCGTTTAAAACCGTGTGCACGCAAGAGCGCTCAAGGGCGAAGCGCAAGGCGATTTCCGAGCTACGGGCTGCAACCATAGTAAAGAACAACTCCCAGCTGCTAGCTACAAACACCGCCACTACGACTACCACTACTGTCTCTATCACCACCATCACCACCAGCACCGGTGATACAACTCCAATGCCTACCGCTAAGAACTACGATGAGTTTTACTGGTATACTGACCAGATGAATGAGAACAGACTGACAGCCTGGCACTCGTGCAAGACATGGGGAAAGACCGACGGTAGTCACCAGAATGTATGTAGAATTCGGAGGTTCAGTAAGTTTAACGCCCCCCACAAAGTCGTCCTACGCTAGATCTCTCAAGAGCCCTTCCTTGGGATGCATCCATTCCGACAGCATGTTTGTTTTGCACCGTTCACTCTTCAGTAGCCGGAGAAAGGCTCCTAATTGCAAGCAGGGTGCTGTAGAGGCTCTTAGCGTGCCTGACTTCCGTTAGGCTGGGCCTGCAGACTTGGGTTTGCAGATCCACGATCCACTTCCTAGATAGTTTCACCCAGGAGTTGGCTGATCGCATGGGTCGACAAACGCCACTGCACGAAGACTTCGCATTTCGAAGAGATCCGAGCTCGCTGTGATTCATATCGTTTGCAAACAAGGTGAAGGAATTTGGTGTGCCGATTTAGCAACCGACATGTCGCTCCTAGATTTTGCTGAATCTGCTGTACAGTTTTCCTTTGCTATCATACCTTCCTTGTGGTGACGAGTCGCCCCGGTGTTCTACAAATGCCTGTAACTGTGACTAATTTCTAGTAGCTGTCATCATCGTCCGCGCTCTAGCATGGTTGCTCTTTTGCATGTTTCTTGTTCTTTTTGTTGCATTGCTCCTAATTTCTGCTTGGGGTCGTGGCCCGTCTAGTGAAGGGGATCGCCCGCGACGCGACCCTGCTGCAAGGCCGTTGCCAGTTTGAGGCTTTCCCAGTATGCAAGCAACAGCACTCTTCTTCGAGCACGGCACTCAACCGTGAACCGGAACAGGCCGGCAAGTATAACATCCGAGGAAGAACGACAAGGGCTTGATTGCCACAAACATTCCAGTCGTGAGTAATTACTTCTGATCTCCTCGCTTGCGGCTAGCTTTCGGGTCGGACGGGGATGGATTGCTTGGCTGGGTTTTGTTTTTCTCGCCGTCCCGACCCAACATGACCAGGATCAAGTCTCTCCATCTGCCAGAGCAGGTGCTGCAGGCCACCGGGCTGGTTAGCAATCCCAGTTCCCCAGCCCAAAGTCCCACAGCTTCGCGGTGGGTTCCAGTGATAATGTGCACTTTCTTGAGAGAAAGAACTCCGCCACAGCCATCACACGCGGTGTGTGATACATACAGATACATACACACGTGTACTCACATATATATATATATGTATTTATTTATATATATTTATATACAGAAAGGTACGCCGTGGAGGGGGGAGTTTTGATTAGGAGAGAAAAATATACATCCACTATGATATTCTTTGAAAAATTAACAATCAAGGTAAAGAAGGCTTTTTAGTAAACGTGCATTACATA